CCGGGGCCTCACGCCAGGCAGGCAGCTGGCCCGCAGGCAGAGCAGCAGCACCCGTGCCGCCGTGGGCTGCGAGGCCATCGCCGGGCGAAGCCGTCCTCATGCGGCGGCTGAAAACACTCACCTGGGCAATAGCAGAGAAGAAGGGTGAGCAGCGCAAACTCGCGAGGAGCCTGGCCACCATCTCAGCCCCCAGCAACCCGACCTCACCAAAACCGCGATGGTCCCATGAACCTTCAGCTGGCCTCCCGCAGGGGCAGGCAGTGGTGGGGCTGCTTTGGCTCAGCTTCAGCGACGTCCCTGGCACTGGCTGGGAAAAGGACCTGGGCGAACCCTCTCCCAGCCATACAGCGGCAAATGGGAGCCAAGTGGAAGGGCGGTTGGGCTTGTCACCACTTACAATTTAACCGGTCGGTGACTGGTTTTCAAGAACCTCAGTAGGATGTTGATAAAGTCATCGGGGACTGCGCTGCGACAGAATTTAACTGCTGCTTTTAGAGAATATTGGAAAATTGCACAATTAGACCAGGAAGAAAGCAAACAGGGTAGCTGGAGACTTGCCGGGATGCCTCGGGGAGCAGCGATGGGTCTCCCACACCTACACCGCAACCACAGCTCACACCCTTCAAAAATGCACCTTTTCGGCAAACCAGAAGCTCCACATTACTTTCCACATATCTCAGGAAAGGCGAGGAGCACCAGCTGCTGCAGGTTGTCTCTACCTTCATCTGGCTGCGGTTAATAACATAAAGCGATTATTGCGTTTTCCTCATCCGTGTTTCAAAGGTTCTTATTCCCCCTGCGACGCTGTTGACAAATGATGCAGTGTATTTTTCCCACGTCCCTGAACGAAGGGAACTAATTTAAGCAGAAACAAGGCACCACTTGAGAAGTCATCCCAAAACGAGCAGCTTTCAGGAGTATCCCAATCCCTGCACCCAGCCTGTGGGGAACCATCCAGGAACAGATAACGCTAATGCATTGTTAAATACACAGCTCGTATTATTACAAATCCTTAAAAATGATGAAAAAGTGCCTTGAAAAGCAAGCGGGACAGGGAAGCCCCGAGAGGACGTGGCTGCTGAGCCAGGCAGGAGCCACCGGTTTCCCTTGGCCGCTGGCATCCATCCAGCATACACAGGGTTGGGGTTTTTCCCACTCATTCTGACTGAGACATCTGCAATACCCAGATATTTCCTAAGCGACTTTGAAAGTGCCGTAGCTATTATTTAATAAATCAATTTTTTATTTTGGTTTTTTTTTGTGTGTGTGTGTGTTGTTTTTTTTTTTTTCCCCGGAAAGATGTTCCGGGGCGGGGATGTAACCTTCGACCTCTGCCTCCAAATGTTTGTCTCACTGACGGAGACCCACACAGGACTAGCAGCGCAACAGCCGCCGGGGGGGCTGTCGTTATCCTTGGCTCTTATCTGAAAACAGCTCTTTTATTAAAACACCGTGAAATCCATAAAAATAGTGAGGGAAACAGATAACACACAACACGGCGTATTAAACTTTGTTGTTTTAAGCTTACGAAGGGGGAAATGCCAATTTCCATTGGGTTTACTCTACAGATGCGTATCAGCCAGGGGAAAATGAAATCCTGATTAGAAGCAGAAAGGAAATAAAACAAACCTCTCCCAGCCACATGGAAGATGAAAGAAAAATGGGACCAGCAGCTCCGTGGGAGGCCTGGAGGAAGAGCCCCCAGCAAAGCCGGTCGGAGCCCACCTCGGCGAGGAGCGGGGTGCGCGCGTGGATTCAGGACTATGCACGCTTTTTAGTCCCTCGTGGCTCAAGACAGGCAGACCTGGACCCGAGCTGGCCAGATGCCGACGCTGCCCGGATGGTCCTGAGCAGAGGACAACGGGAGCCAAGCACCGGCCAGACGCGCGCCAGTCCGGGAGCGTTTCTTTTCGGGGCACGTGTCTATACGCAACACAAGTCACAGGCGATGTTCAGCGAGAGGAAGCAAGTTGTGTGTGGACTCCTGAGCCGAGTCTCTCCCTTCCTACGCGAGAAGAGACCCGTCCATCACCGCACGCACGTCAGCCTCTCTGCTCACCGCTCGACCGGGGACACTCAACGGCAACTGGGCTTTCACATGTGGAAACTGCTTTATATCCATACTGTTAAGATCACGAAGGTTTGGAGGAGAGAGGGCTGTTTGGATTGTTTTTTATCCCAGGCAAAACGAGGCAGATTTAACAAACCCCATTTTTCATTTCAAGAAACCAGCAGCTTGCGGTGAAACTCCTTGTCTGTTCACAGGGTCTCGGCAGCAATCCTGCGTCACCGCACAAAACAGTTAGGACCCGCAGCCCAAAGAGAGGAGCTCTTCCTAGCTCAAGGCAAGCTCTCAGTAGCAACCTATGATTAACGTACGTTATCAAATCAGAACACAAGGGACAAATAGCAACATATTAAGTTAAAATATAGCAAGATTAAAATAATGGCAAGAATTCCCCCCAGGTATAAGAAGAAAATAATTTGTTGGGTTTTCCCATCATAATCACAAAAAGCACTTTTATTTACAGCACTGATCGAAGTCTTCCCGTTGAGGACACCAGTTTTCCCTCTATCGTACACGCTCCCTTCTGTGGGACCAATTGCTTACTCAGCCAGTCTCCAAATGTCTGCATGTGACTGTCAATACTTGCCTACTCGTCAGGTTCAGAAGACAAGTGGCTGTTAGTCCTGCGTGGAAGGGTGGAAGAAATCCTCCAGCTGCACGCTAAAAATACTCACATCGTGCCTCTTGTAATTACAAGTACCTTAACTGCCAACACCGCTTCTAATGAGTTACAAGAACCATAAATGAATATATAGAATTCACTTCCCTGCCTCTGTTTTATATGTTTGAAACAGATTTAATTATAGGTAAGGAATTAAAATTTTTAAAACCCTCTGTGTTACAAAACAATCTTGTCGCCAGCCTGGCCACTGTTTTGAAAACCGTGGCAGATAGATACTGAAGCAGAAAGTACTTATTGAACCAAACACCCGCCACCGTTACAGTCACTGCTCTTCACAGCAAGCGTGTTCTACCTGGTCATTCCATACACCCATAGGTAGTATAAAAATAGATACTTCTGTGTACGTAGAAACGCCTACTGTCAGAAACCTGAATATTTAATATTTCACAAATGAGCACGTACACACGGGCACACGCAGTTCTGTCTTTCACAGAGGGCAAAACACATGTATGAATACGTTACACCTGATTGAGAGAAGATTTTTTGATGTTCAAGGTAATGCTGGTGTTTCACACAGTAGAGTAACCAAAACTATTTTGAAGAAAAACAAACATAGTCAATAATTACTGTTGAGGACACTAATTTTGTCTGCTTTGACACCCACACATAAAAATCAGTTTTGTTTTTAAAGGAAAGATATACATATATGGATGCAGCTGTCTCAAAACCTGCAAGCATTTGACAAAAAGTTGTTTTCAGTCCACATTTTTCCCCAAATCATCCAAAATTATATTTTTCTGCAAAGACAGCTTCTCTTCATGAAGCCTGTAAGTCCTAAGAAGCCTCATCAAAGGCAGGAAGGCTTTTTCTTTTGCTCACAAGCTCCTTCCAGCTTATGGCTTTTGGCCAAAACCGCCAAACGCTGTACAAAATTAGTTTTTCAAACAGCTATTGCTGACGTATCAGCTACTACAGTGCTAAACCTCTGCTGGCAGAACAGACCTGTTCTCCAGCGTACGGGCACACGATTTTTCTGAATTAATTTCTGAACTAATCGGCTCCTTCCCAGACGTAGTAGCTTCTCGTGCATCGCAGCATGCATGCACCAACCTAATAGAAAATGGCATGACCCACTCTGAATTCGATACCGGATTGTAGTTAGGGGAAATAGTCACATGGTGTTTAGATCATACAGTCTGTTTATAAAAGGACTTGAGCGCTGACACAGAAGTCCTAGTTAACTCAATCTTTCCAGCTTCACCAGCACCTTTCAGACGGAAAGGCATCCCCATCCCCGCTCTGCAGCAGGATTATTTCTTCCTGCCCTTTGCCCTGACACAGCGCCATGGACATTAACCATTGCGTTCCCCAAGCAGCAGCCCAATTGCCCATTTGTCAGGTCTCATTAGGGCGGCGACATCTCGTCCTCGCTGTCACCGGCGCCAGGGACAACGGAAGGTCCCTGTCCTCCGAGGAAGGACCGGGGAGCCCTCGAGCAGAGGCGCTGCCGAACGTCAGACCTCCGGTTCTGGGGGAGATGCCTTGTCAGAGATGACAGTTACTTGTGAGGATGTATTTGTCCCTCCCGTCCCTCTTGCAACCTCAGTAGATACCTGCTGGCTGGCCTTCACTGAAGGCCACAAGCTGGGCTGCTGCCAGCTGCAAGGTTGCGGCAAATGTTGCGGGAGAAAAAAAGAAGTTGGACACCAAATCTTCCCAAAACACTTGGCCAAAGCCAGGCACGAAGGAATTCCTGGTTTGTGGGCATTTCTGTGGTTCTCCTCCTCATGCAAACACAGCAAGTGCTGCGGTGTCCGGTGCCCCTCCACCTCCCTCCCAAGGAAGACGAAGCGGTGCCCTGCTCTCCCTGGACGTCTGATGCTGATGGGGGTTGCCCAGTCTCACAGGAGGCTGATGCTTCTGCTGACATGTCAGCTCCACCTTCCTCCTGCATCTCCTCCTTGCTGTCCGGGCCCCATCTCCAAGTTTTATAGCTTACTACCTCATTTCATCTTGAAGACATTTTCTCTTCTCTCTTCACTTGGAAGAGTCTCTATCTCAGAGGGCCCTAAAGCAACACTGTCCTTAGATAAATAAAATAGCAAAAGCAACTAAAAGCTCCCTCTCCATAGGCAGGAGACATGTCAGCCCTACAGTATCAAGCACAGCACGCCAAAGCAGCAACATCTGCGAGAAACTGCAGAAACCACAGCGCGAGTAACTTGCTCTAGCCAATTCCGCTGTGCAAGGTCAGCTGGGCCATCGCATGAGGGTGGTGAGGCCCTGGCACAGGTTGCCCAGAGAGGCTGTGCATGCCCCATCCCTGGAAGCGTTCAAGGCCGGGCTGGATGGGGCTTTGAGCAAGCTGGTCTAGTGGAAGGTGTCCCTGCCCATGGCAGGGGGATTGGAACTAGATGATCTTTAAGGTCTT